GTTGAAAGACTGTGAAGACTGCTTTAAATAATTAGATTAACATGGTAAATCTATAAAGAGAGAAACTAAAGATATGTTCATTAAATTTACATAAGCTAAAGTATATATTCAATACAATAATTAGTTATAAGATTAAAAGAAATTATTAGAAACTGATTCTGTTGGTGTATTTTAGATGCTTTTAGACATAATTGAAAATGTTGCACATGATAAACCTTTAATGACTTATATTTTAACAACAATTGATGCAATAATATCAGGTATAAATGTGTAATTACATAATAGAGAATTAAAGACTTTTCAAATAATTCATTAGAGCATTGACACCATAGGTTGTACCTAAATTGAAATAATTCTTATTTCTTGAAGGATATGATAAAGTTGTTTATGAAGCAGCAGCAAAGATAGTCACAATGATAATAGCAGAAGAAGGAGGAAATGATGCAAAAGAATGGGTAATATTATTTATTGGAGGAATAGGTATATTAAATATATCAATATAGGAAATAAGTTAAAGATTTCTGATTAAATGATTATGCCAATATGTGTACATTTTCTTAAACATGATTCATTAGCAGTATAATTTATAAAGAGTGGTGGAGTTAAAATGTAATAAATAATTATATATATATATATATAGAATATCAAATCTATTGATGAAATATCCAACTGATTTACATATAGCTTATTATACAATTTTGGCATTATGGTTATTAAGTTTTACTAATGAATCAATTCCATTATTCAATGATCCTTAAATTGGATTAATTAGAATGATTATAGAATCAGTGTAAAAGATTTCAAGAGAAAAAATATTAAGAGTTTCTTTTGCTTGTTTCAAGAATTTAGTTGATGTTTCAGCATAATGTATTGAATTAATGGTTGATAATGGATTAATCAAAGTGGTTGATTTATTATTAAAAGGAAATCTTAAAGATTAAGATTTAATAGATGATATTAAATATGTTGGTGAAATATTAGAAAAGAATATGAAGATTTTAACGTAAAATATATTTATAAAATATAATAAGTTCATTTGAAAAATATGTAAAAGAATTAAATGCATAAAATTTGAATTGGAGTCCAGTACATACAGAGAAATTCTGGAAGGAGAATGTCAAGAAGTTCGAAGAGAATGATTTCTTACTTATTAGGTAATTCATGTGAGTAGAGTATAGGAAATTAGCAGAAATCTTAAAATCAAATAATAATCAAAATATAGCTGTTGCTTGTTATGATTTGGGAGAGTTTTGTAGATTCCATCCATTTGGAAAAGTGTAATATTATTATATAATATTAATAGTGTTTTAGAATAATTGAATGCAAAATAAGAAATAATGAAATAAGCAAGAAGTGATGATTAAATGATTAGAGAAAATGCATTGTTATCATTATAAAAAATTATGTTGCATAATTGGTAAGTTTGAGAGAATATTAATATATATAAATATATATATTAAACAAGTATATTCAAATATTAATTAATTTATTAATGTCAGAATAGTAAGCGGGTTAAGTAATCAATATATTCTAATTTAATAGGAATAATTGGATGTAACAGCAATGATGGATGAGTTATATGACAAATTAATATTATTGAATTATGAACAAAGTTATTTAAAATAGAAGTAATTGAACTTATATATATCTAATATTAGAGGTGGTAAACCTTTGAATAGAGCCTATTTTGTAAATCAAACTAATTCAAGTGAATAATTCACTTAATTTAAAACGTAACTTTTTGAATTGTATTTGAATAGATTAGTGAAATGGCTATTTCAATAAAATGATGTATAGACCAGTGATTTTAATAAACTTGATGATCCTGTAACTCTATCTTAAAATATAAGTAATTAGATTTCTATATATATAATAGTAAATGAATTAAAAAATATTGGGATTGAAGTTGACTTTCCTCCACTTAAATTAAAATAAGGATTTGGAGAATATGTTGTTTATGTTTTGCTCTAATTAGCAACTAAAGCATTACAAAAAAAGAAATTCCAATATAAGAAAGCCAAAATTGAATAATAATCTTAAACGTATACAATAATATTAAATTATTAGAAGATAAGATGATGAACCAGTTTAAGAAACANTATAAAATATAATAAGTTCATTTGAAAAATATGTAAAAGAATTAAATGCATAAAATTTGAATTGGAGTCCAGTACATACAGAGAAATTCTGGAAGGAGAATGTCAAGAAGTTCGAAGAGAATGATTTCTTACTTATTAGGTAATTCATGTGAGTAGAGTATAGGAAATTAGCAGAAATCTTAAAATCAAATAATAATCAAAATATAGCTGTTGCTTGTTATGATTTGGGAGAGTTTTGTAGATTCCATCCATTTGGAAAAGTGTAATATTATTATATAATATTAATAGTGTTTTAGAATAATTGAATGCAAAATAAGAAATAATGAAATAAGCAAGAAGTGATGATTAAATGATTAGAGAAAATGCATTGTTATCATTATAAAAAATTATGTTGCATAATTGGTAAGTTTGAGAGAATATTAATATATATAAATATATATATTAAACAAGTATATTCAAATATTAATTAATTTATTAATGTCAGAATAGTAAGCGGGTTAAGTAATCAATATATTCTAATTTAATAGGAATAATTGGATGTAACAGCAATGATGGATGAGTTATATGACAAATTAATATTATTGAATTATGAACAAACTTATTTAAAATAGAAGTAATTGAACTTATATATATCTAATATTAGAGGTGGTAAACCTTTGAATAGAGCCTATTTTGTAAATCAAACTAATTCAAGTGAATAATTCACTTAATTTAAAACGTAACTTTTTGAATTGTATTTGAATAGATTAGTGAAATGGCTATTTCAATAAAATGATGTATAGACCAGTGATTTTAATAAACTTGATGATCCTGTAACTCTATCTTAAAATATAAGTATTTAGATTTATATATATATAATAGTAAATGAATTAAAAAATATTGGGATTGAAGTTGACTTTCCTCCACTTAAATTAAAATAAGGATTTGGAGAATATGTTGTTTATGTTTTGCTTTAATTAGCAACTAAAGCATTACAAAAAAAGAAATTCCAATATAAGAAAGCCAAAATTGAATAATAATCTTAAACGTATACAATAATATTTATTGATTAGAAGATAAGATGAGGAACCAGTTTAAGAAACAGGAAGTGTATCATCAGATTCAGATCCAGAAGTAGCATCAGATGAGGAGCCTGAAGATGTATTTACTGAATAGGGTTTCCAAAAAGAGTAACTATTATAATTCAAATCTTATAGTGAAGATAAAATGGTTATTGAATCAAATGTAAATCCAAAAGAATGGGCTAAAGAAGTTGAAAGGGCTGCTCAAAAGATTAAAATAGTCATAAAACCAGATGCTGGAGAATGGAGATAACATTTTGATGCTACAAAATAATATTCAAATTAAATAAAGACTATATTACCAGAAGCTAGAATCAAATTAGAAAGAATGAGTGATGAATTGGGAGAAATCTTAGACAGAATTACAAAGAGAGAATATAATATTAATGAAAATATGAGTGATATGGTAATTAGATTTCTTAATTTAGTGTAATGAATTCAAAAAGAAAAATGAAGAATACAAAAATATTGAACTTTAATATTAGAATTATACTAATGCCAAAAAAGAAATGAATGATTAATATAAACAAATACAAGAGAAATTTGAAACTGTTTAAAATAAATTAAATGAACATGGTAGTGTCTCTACAGACTAATCTCCTGTAATTAGAATTAAGGCTAGTCTAACTAAATTGAGAGTATATATTATAATAATATTATTTAATAGTTGGAAATTAAATAGATGGATCTTAGAATTGGAGTACTATCTCATACAATTCTATAAAGAACATTTCATGATGCCAAAGCTGTTTAAGAAAGAGACTATCATGAAAATGGACTAATTCTAAATGAGTCAGATGAATTAACAGATTGAAATTTATATATTAATATACCATTTAATTTAGTTATTAATATACTTATTAATTATTATATTAATGTCATTCTTTTCTAAATAAAATTTAATACAATCTAATTATATATAAAATGATCTAAATCTAAAAGAAAAAAATTAATAAATATTTGAAATCTAAGAAGAAATATTTAAATATAATGTAAAAGTCTTTGATAATAAAAAGGTTATTTATTATAATAACTATATATAGAATTATTAGAGAATATCTAATTTCATTTATAATCATTTGATCTTACTATCATTTTTTCATCTTCATTTTATAAAATTATTTCACAAAATCATAGCTTTTATTTTGTTATAATTTGATTGAAGATTTATTTAATAATTGCTATTTTAATTCAAAACTTCTTTATGAATTTTGATCTTAAGACTCAAAAGGACAATTTTTCTTTTGCTTTAAAAATTTAGTTAATTATGAACTTATTGATCTATTAGAATATTGAAGTTTATTATGTGGTGATTATCCTCTAGATTAAGTAATAGACATTTATTTGAAACTGGAATTATCTTGTCTATTTTATTTAATATCAGACATTTCAGTTTTAATTTAATTTGATTATTTTTGGGTTGGTTTTCTTATCAATTATGATTGAATAGAATATTATTTTTTGATGAATTCTGTTTGTTAATAATTTTTTGGCTTCTGCTTTGAAGTATTAATCTAATATATTTTATTCATCAATTCTTTAAATACTTTTGTGTTTGTTATATTATCTAATTAAATCAATTATTATTATTATTATTTAGGTGATTCTTTGCATTCTATTTGTTCTTCTTCAAGACGAGGGAACACATATTATCTATTTGTTTCACTTTTAAGAAATCTCTCTTCTATTTTTTAAATTGATTTTAATTTAGATTTTTCTAAGAGTATCATATCTTGTACAGGTTTTTAATAATTATTGATCATTTCTATAAGTATCCTACTTTTAGAAGTCTTTTTATCATTAATTTGCATTACACAATTTTATAATTAAATAATAAATTAGATGTTGAATTATGAAATAATTTTGTATAAGAAATATGTAATCATTCTAAATTAATGATATTCTATAACATCTTTTTAAAACTTATTGATAATTAATTTGCATTTTAGGGAATAAGATCTTTTCTTTAAGAATCTTTAACATAAACTTTATCACTTTTTTAAAATGGTTCTCTTTGTTCAGCAATAAATTTTCTTATATTTTTAGCTACTTAATCAAGTGAATAAGATTTAGTTTTTCTATAATTAACTCTATCCTATAATGATAATTTATAGATAGGATTTTCATGAATTTTATGATCAAATATATATTTGTCATTATTTTTTTCATATTTTGACATTATTTCTACAGCTCTTCTAGGTAATGCTGCTTTATTTAAATGTTATTTAGCATTAATATCAATATAATGATATTCAATTTAATATTATAGAAAATCTGTTCCTTATAAAATCTAATCAATTATTGATTGAGCAATACAATTATTATATTTAATAGTTGATTATGAATCAAACATTTAACCTGTTTTGATATTAATAAATGGAACATGAAGATATCTTTAAATTATATCATCAAATTCTTTACAAATTGGTAATTATTTTTCATATAATTTAATAAAATCTTTAGATGTTAATCTATAATAAGAATTTTTAGGTTCAATATCACATTTAGCCCATTTAGAGTGAAAATGATTAGCTTTATTAATATTACCCATATAAAAATAACACATTCCTAATTTATCATAACAATCTATTTCATAATCTTCAAGATTATCAGCCCATGCATAATTTAATGCTTTTTGTATAAACTTGCGGGCTTATTCATATTATTTTAATCTAAAAAAATGAATAATAATAATATTGATACTGTTTGGCAATAAGATAAAATTAAATTAGAATTTTTATTTTTAAGATATGATCTCTATTTAATTCTGATACTTTTAAACAATCCTTTAATAAATATGATGCTTTATTTAATGATATAATTGTATTAGCAAAATAAGCTACAAAAAACAATAATTCACTAAATAATTTAAGTTACTAAATTTATATTATAACAAAGTTTACATTTAATTCTTAAGAATATTAGATTGGATAATTTAAAAATAATATAAGTTTCTCTAGATCTTTCTTTTTGATAACTTCATTAAATAGTTAGATATTCTCTTCAAGATATAAGCTTAGATAATTTTGTTTTTTATATCTGATTGACTCTAGCATTGAAGGATATTTAAACTTCTATTCATTTTTGAATTACCTTAAGTGTTTTATTTGATTAAAGAGAAGGACTTGGTTCTATTGATCTGTCAGTCTATTCTGGCATTCTCAATTTAGGATATTTTGCTGTAGATTATTAAGTTACTTCCTTAAATGTATAATCTCCATTCTCAATTTATTATGTTAAATCTATTCTAGAAGTTTCATATTAAGTAATATCTTGATTTAAGGAATATATTCTTGATCTTTTATTTTTTGGTGAATTCCTTATTGATTCTGTTATGGATAATGGAGGTAACTTTGTAGATTGATTAGTTATTTTACTGTTGGAGTTTAACAAATATTTAAGTACATCAGACATCTAACTATTATGATATTGTAGTAACTTCTCTTAAATAAGACTATTTCTCATTCTAATATTTTATTTATTATCTTATATTATTATTTTGCTTAAATGATAAAGCTTAAAATCAAATTAATATTAAATCATTTCTTCCTAGATGTTTCAGATAACATAGTTCCTTGTTTTCTAATTTGAGGACTTGATTTTTATTAAGATAATTGTCCTTATGTTCTTTTAGCCAAAGGGGAATTTGATTAAGTCAATTACAATTCAATCTATGGTTTTATTAAACATCTTGGATGGTAGACCCACAATTAATATAATCTTTCAATGAAATCTTCATTAGATATTATTTCATCTTATTTTTTGTTTATCATAGATCTTTAATGTATAATTAATAATTGCCAAATCTAATGATAAATAACAACTAAATACTAAAAGTATATCAATATTATAGAACTATTCTAATAAATCTAATCGATAACTAAATTTATTAAGATTGTTCAAATAAAACTTAGCAAAAGAATTCCATTTTAATCTCTCTTATTATTAAAGGAATGCAATTGTTTAATGTGTAAACTCTATTAATTTTATATTGGATGGACATGTCTATTCTATGTATTCATATAATTATTGAGGCAGAATGATTGAATAACTATAGTTATAGACCATAAGTACAATACTTTGTTAAATTAATTTCCAATTCAAAATCAATTATACTTGATTATTTTAGAAATAAATTAGATCTTTGTTAATTTTAATTTTGTGTTGATTACTATAAAAATGTTAGTTCAATTAATTTAATATATTTTTATGTTTCTTCTATTACTTTATGAGATGAAGGGGATTATGTATTAATTCCTAGAATTTATTAACATAAATTGATATAATAGTCATTATTATTATTTTGATTCAATTTATTTAACAATTCTATACGACAATTAACAAATTGTTAATCATCAGCATGTATCCATAATAAATAGATTTCAACACTTGATTAGGAAGGATAAGCATTGATATTTAAAAATAGAAATTAAAGAAAATCACTTGCTAATTATTTCTTATTAATTTGATCAACATGATAAAACTCTATTTCTATTTAGGATATTAATGGATTAATCATTAATTCAATACAAGGTTTCTGTTCTTTATAATAAATATTTAATTATTCATATTTTTATTATATAAATGATTTAGGTATAATAGGTTTAGTTGTTAGTATCTTAGCTAATTATTTCATAGAATTTGATGCTTATTAATGAGATTCATAAATATTTTTATTATATTTAATGAAATTTAAATCCATCTCATGTAATTTTTGATTAATATTCTAAAGATCACCTTTAGCATGTTCAATATTACTAAGTTCATTCATTTGATCTTCTAAATGATTATATTATTGACATATCTTTTTATTCTCTTCTCTTAATTATATATTCTTCTTTTATTCAATAGCAAGCTTTAATTAATAAGCTCTTAATTGCATCTATTACTTTTCTTCTAATTATTTATATTCACTTTTTATTTATTCTAAACTTTCCTAATACCCTCCTATTTACACTTCAACTAATGATTGAAAACGATCTTATTACCATTAAGTATTCAAATCTAAAATTATTACTAAACATTTCCAAATTTATTCAATAAATATTGCTATAGCTTTGTCATCTATTATCTTTATTATGCAAGATACAAGTTCACTAAATATTTCAATGAATTTAATTAAAATATCAAATCTAAAATGTTATTTAGGATGTTGTTAATTAAGATTACTATTATCTAGTTATTATTTTTTATCGAAAAGATCCTGAATTATATTTTAATCTAAATTTATTAGAGTCTCATACATACGAAACAATAATTTAGGATCTTTATCCTAAAATTAATATTATTTAGGAAGATCTTAAACGTAGATAAAATTATACTATAAATATTTCTTTACCTCTCCTGATACATGTTTTAAAGTGGAAACTATTGATTCATGGTTCTTTATTAAGTAACTTTCTTCTAAATACTTTTCCATCACTTTTAATGGAACATTAGATTTCTCTCCAACACCTGGTATAACTTATTCTAAGAAAAAACCTGAAGGACTTTAATTCAAAATCATATTGTTCGATTTTGATCTAGATTGTGCACTGGTTATTCTGCTTATTGAAGGTTTTATGGAGGATGAAATAATCCTTCTATGAGCAGATACACTATGCATATTATGTTTATGCATTATTATTTGTTAATATTATATAAATCATATTTAATATTATTATTATATTTATTATGTATTATTTACATACAAGATATCACTTTAATCAGATATAATTCAAATATGATTAAATTTGTATATTAATTATCATAATTAATAGAATCTTGATTATTAAGATATTGCATATTATAATTATTAGAATTTTTATATGTTTTACTAAACCAACTTAAAAATGCCAGAAAAAATTGTGAATAACTTTAATTTGTCCTAGAAAATATTTAATATTGTAAAATATTAAACTATATTCCAGAATTGCTCTCTCTTTTGAATAATTATATTCATATGTATATGAATTGCTTATAATTATTTTTAATTGGAATATTTTGAGAATATTAATGTTGAAAGATCTAATTAAACCTTATGAAGGAATTATTTAAAAATAAATGGATAATAGAATTATTTATGTAATTATGAATTTTATGGATGATTATTTTCTTTATTTAATTGATTTTTCATTCATACTTTTTCATTATCATCTTGATTTTATTTAGAATCATCAATTTTGTCATTTTTTCATTGTCATTGTTATTTATCCTTTGTAATCTCTATTATAATTATTCAAAAATCTCTTTATCTTTTTAATACTATTTTAAATAAATTAATTTTTTACTTATTCTTCAGCATAATATTTTGCAATCTCAATATCTGTATCTATTGAACTTCTATTTTAACTTTGAATGCTTATGTCAAATGATTTAATTTGATTTTAATTTTATATGCATTTTTAACAGAATTGCCTTTATGTTGTAAAACTACCTTGCTTCGGAGGTTTTGGTGTTTCTTCACAGTCTCTTTCTACTGATATACTATATTATTCTCTATTAAGATTAATTTTCTCTTCAATTTATATAATATATTGACGACCATTCTCCTTTAAATTATTAATACAATCATAACAAACGAATTTAATTTCTAGTGGTCTTACATCATTTATTCCATTAATTATTTATCCATTGGTATTATGAACAATAGGATTTTGTTTATAGTAGTAATAAATAAAATTCTTGTTAGATGGAATCAATGGACTGTTACATTAACTAAATGAACACTTCAAACTTTCTATTACAACTTCATTCATAAACTGTGTACTTTAGCTCATTTATTAATAATAAATTATAATATATTAAATCATCTTTTGATTATTTGATTTTTATTTTTATATTTACCTAAAATTTTTTCCAATTTCTTTTTCAGATAGAATTTTTCTTAATTATCTTTACTTTTTTCGAAACTATTTTTGTATTAATTATATAAACTTTAATCTTCCTCAAATTATTCCAAAGCAAGTAGTTTTCCAAGTATTAAAGCCCTTTTTTATGTAGAAGAAGCATAAATAATAAAACTTTTATCATATTTTTCAAATTATTATTCTAATTTATTACAATTTTCGCATAAATTATTTTAATTTGATAAATAACCACAAGCAGCCTAACTTTCATTTCTTTTAAATGAAAAACTAAATTAATTAGGATTAGCCAAACTTTTTTCACCTAATTAATTTATCTTAAATTTTTTTTCTTCTAAATAATTAGTTAAAATTTATAATTAGGGCTTGTATTAATTATCACCTTTAGTTGATTTTATTTCACAAGTTTTGCACATAAAGACAATATATTTATTAACATTACTATTATCTTTTTTTGCTTTAGAATTCAAATAAAAGTAACTAAAACTTTGGTTTTGTTAGAATTTAGTAATTCTAAGTTTTTCTGAACATACACAACAATATCCAGGCTCTAATTAAGTTTTCAATTCATCTGAATTCAAAGGAGTTGATTAATTAGAGATATTTTGAATCATCAATTTTTATTAAAATAAATAATTAATTATTATTACATCAAAAATTCATTAAATGCACTTATCAGAAATATACTTTTGGTTATTTATTTACATTATCATATTTTGATTACCATGTAATTCTAACGTAAGTTTACAACATTGTTAAGATGGATTAGGTTCCTAAGCTTATAGAGAATTTTAATTTAAAACACTATCTTAATTCATAGATTCTTGATTTGGAATAATATCTATTTCTTGTTTGATCACCATATCTTTTTCATTTAATTAATTAACTTAAATATTTACTTATTCATGATTATAAGGTAGATCAGAAGTATGGCTATTTTGAGGACAATGATTATGATTTCTATTATTAACATGATGATCTTCATCATCATCATCAGAACTTTCATTTAATTATGGTTCTGAATCTTCAACTATCACCTAATTATAAATTTATTTGTCTTTTAAATCCTCCAAATCTTTTGGCTTTGACAATTAAGAAATCTTTTAATTTTTATCTTAATCATTTCCAGGAGTAGTAGGTTTAGATGTAAATAAACTTGGAATTTATGTGAATTATTGTTATGTTTATAAATTAGTTTTCTTGTCTTCTTCTTATTTATTCGAGAAATAGTTTGGATTAGATTTCTTTTAATCTCCAGTCTTTAAGGATAGTTGTGATTTCATATCAAAACGCTTAGATGTTGATAACAATTATCCATAACCAGTAGAACTTTCATTTTAAATCTACTTTTGTTGTACATTTTACGTTTTCATCATTTTATCTTTAGATATTTTTTTAGATTTGATATATTCATATGTAGAAATATTATTCCATCTAGAAATAATGTTGTTTTGTTTACTTGAAATATAAATGCATTGATAACAAATATGCCAATACAAAAAATACAGGAGGGTCTACTGAAATACAAATATAAACTAAAATCTAAAAATTGGTTTGAAGATAAAGTAATTTACAATCTTAACCTAATCTAAATAGTTTAAATGCAACTAAAGATAATACTAAAACAAAGAAATAAAAATAATTCTAATCTCCAACACAATTATTCAACCAAATACAATGATGATCAAATTTCGATACACATCTAATATGTAATATTTAATACTTATTACAACTCCAACAATGTTTAGTTTTCTCTTAAACATGTGCTTAACATACTAAACAATAAGATTTTATATCTGTCTTAAATTCTTTGCTTTTGAATATCAATTATATAAAATTACCCAAGTAGTTTTGATAATTTCTCTTCCTTTACAATTGAATCTGTAGGATCTATTAATGTGGTTCTTAGACATGAATAAATAACACAAGTAACTATTACTGTAAGAAGTATCAATTAGAGTTCCTAAATGAAAAAAACATTAATACCCTCATTCCTGTTTCTTCAAATTGAAAGGCAAAAAAGTATGCTATAACTATATCAAATAGAGTATATATCCAACTAAGAAATTAATAAGGGTTGATTCCATTAACCAATCCATTTCTACGGACTGCCCTTAAACGACCTTATTTTACATCAACGTCCATTATTAATATTTAAAAATATGCATATGAATCAAAATTCATGGAACAGGTAAATCTTTTAATGGTAATTCTTTTAGAGTTTAAGTCTTTTCATATTCTTCTTATTCATTTCTATTTTAATCTTACAATTTAAAATTACCTCTTTAATCCAAAGTATTATTTGGATATCAATTAAGTATGATTTGTAAGAAATTAGGTTTTTAATTTAGGATTCCAAAAAGCATCTTCCATATATAAATACATTAATTCTTATTTGTTTAAGCAAGACAACTCGTACATTCCTAAATCCTATATAAATATAAGTATGTATATATACATTTTATCTCATATTTTACACTCCAGACTTTGTATAATATGGTATTACTTCGAGATGATGTGTTTCAAATTCATCTTCTCTAATAACACCGAATGAACCCATTCTAGTTACAAATATCATTTCCTTATCTTTATTGTATTGAACTTTAGTAAAATAATTCTTTCCAATATCATTCATAGACATATGATGGAAATACCATAAATATGCAGAAGCAGCAGTTGCAGCTAATACATTAATTCTCATATAATCCATATTATATATAGATTATAAAAGATATGGATAGAATGAGGCATCAATTTAATGATCAAACATAAGATTTGTTTTATAAACTATGTTATATGGTATNACCAAATACAATGATGATCAAATTTCGATACACATCTAATATGTAATATTTAATACTTATTACAACTCCAACAATGTTTAGTTTTCTCTTAAACATGTGCTTAACATACTAAACAATAAGATTTTATATCTGTCTTAAATTCTTTGCTTTTGAATATCAATTATATAAAATTACCCAAGTAGTTTTGATAATTTCTCTTCCTTTACAATTGAATCTGTAGGATCTATTAATGTGGTTCTTAGACATGAATAAATAACACAAGTAACTATTACTGTAAGAAGTATCAATTAGAGTTCCTAAATGAAAAAAACATTAATACCCTCATTCCTGTTTCTTCAAATTGAAAGGCAAAAAAGTATGCTATAACTATATCAAATAGAGTATATATCCAACTAAGAAATTAATAAGGGTTGATTCCATTAACCAATCCATTTCTACGGACTGCCCTTAAACGACCTTATTTTACATCAACGTCCATTATTAATATTTAAAAATATGCATATGAATCAAAATTCATGGAACAGGTAAATCTTTTAATGGTAATTCTTTTAGAGTTTAAGTCTTTTCATATTCTTCTTATTCATTTCTATTTTAATCTTACAATTTAAAATTACCTCTTTAATCCAAAGTATTATTTGGATATCAATTAAGTATGATTTGTAAGAAATTAGGTTTTTAATTTAGGATTCCAAAAAGCATCTTCCATATATAAATACATTAATTCTTATTTGTTTAAGCAAGACAACTCGTACATTCCTAAATCCTATATAAATATAAGTATGTATATATACATTTTATCTCATATTTTACACTCCAGACTTTGTATAATATGGTATTACTTCGAGATGATGTGTTTCAAATTCATCTTCTCTAATAACACCGAATGAACCCATTCTAGTTACAAATATCATTTCCTTATCTTTATTGTATTGAACTTTAGTAAAATAATTCTTTCCAATATCATTCATAGACATATGATGGAAATACCATAAATATGCAGAAGCAGCAGTTGCAGCTAATACATTAATTCTCATATAATCCATATTATATATAGATTATAAAAGATATGGATAGAATGAGGCATCAATTTAATGATCAAACATAAGATTTGTTTTATAAACTATGTTATATGGTATAATAATATTTATATTTATTATTTAAGTATAATACCCAACATATCCAAGCAAAACTGAATGTTCCAGTCCACCATACAAATTTTATCCATTCTTATAATCTTTTATTTTCATATATCACTTCTCCTTCTTAGAAATTTAAAGTTGGATCTGGGTCTGCTGATGGATGTTAAACAAATGGTTAATCATTATAACTTGGATGATACATATCACTTTCTAATCTAAATAATCTTTAAAAGGGATTAGCCAAGAATTCTGGATGTCCCAATCTATCTGCAAGATATGGGAATCTTAAATGATATGGAGTATAAACATCATATTTAGATCCTTTATCAGGATGAAATTTTCTAGTCATAGGTCTTTATTCTAATTCCTTTTCATGTCTCTTATCACTCTCTGTTTTTCAAATGGATAAATAGTTTATGCAATCCATCTTTTTTCATTTCTGAATACATTTTCATATTCCAATTCTTTCATTCTCTAAATTTCCTGTCTATGCATATGGTATTTCAATAAGGAAGTAATCTCTAAGACCACCAGTTATATTTTTAGTGACTCCAGATTTGCCTTTCATATATGGTCTATCTAAGTTTTTAATTGCTTTGTCAACTTATTTTTACTTATTCACATCTCTTTTTACTCCATCAATAAGCATATTATGAGTATCCACTGTCAATCTTTATTTATAATCTTGTCTCTGAGCTGGAATATAATAAGGATGAGCTGGATCCATAATGAGTTATATGGTATGGATAAAATTTATATTCTAATTTTTTGGCTAATCTCTCCAAATTTTCATACATTACATTTTTGCGTTCTATTTAATCAATATCTTTACAAACCTTTTCTTCTTTAAATTGCATTTGTTATTATTTAACTAGCTCTCTATTTTGGTATATAATGCATAAACATGATTAAATATATAAATAAATAATGAAGGTATTAAATTATAAATACTATTTATTTTAAATGGCCTAGGCTTATTTTTTTTATATCAAAATCCAATCTCTAAGAAAAACTCAAAATTGTAATAATATTAATTATTAATAAGAATTGCAAAAGAGTAATTGGGTTGCCAAGTACATCAATATTTCTAACTTATATATTATCTATTTTCAAATAAAAACTGTTCATTCTAAATAAATTCAAGAAGAATGCAATACTTAATAGTAAAATTACAAGAATTTTTCAATTTGATTATAACAATAATATTATGTAATTTGTTTTATTGCAATTCTTGATTATATCCTTAAGAGTTGCAACTCTTTATTAGTTTGTTTAAATTAAATTTATAAATAATTATAAAATGGTTTATGTATTTCTATTTTGGGAAAAATATAATATCCTTTATGGTTGTTATTTTTAACCAAATGATGTCATGCATATTGAAATTTTATTATTTTAAATTATATCTAAAATATTTATACAGATTTATTATTTTTTATTAAAATCTTCTTACATAATTAATAATCATTGTATTTCCTATAAATGAATAAATATTTTGTTAATTCTTATACACTCAACTTCACATTTTTCACATTTTATTCTATCATCATCCTATTTTTCTCGGCATTTTGGACAGATTTTCACTCCTTAACCCTTCTTTTCAAAGAAAATGTAATTTGTTTAGCAGTTCAAACATTTCTCATTTTCTAAAGATTCTCTTGATGTTTTACAAGCTAAACATTATTTTAAATATTCTACATATATTTTAATTAAAATATATTACCTTGATTCAAAATTGGATCAAATAGTTTGAAATCAATTAGTAATTATAATTCATCCATTGAGCCAATATATATTTTATTAATAAAAATGAAAGGCAATGGATCTTGATTCAATCTTTGTTGTTTTACCCATTACTGACACAAAAGATTATCACATAAATTAAAGGCAAAATATTTTAATTTCTTGTTTTTCACAAAAGTAAATAATCTAAATCATTACCTAAATTTCCTACTTTTAAGTAGAAGTTGTCGCCTTCATGTTGACACTTATGCTTGAATAAAAAAAATGAAATTTCTCTCTAAGAGAAGGTAAAACTTGTCTAGCTGCTCTTATATTTCTTTTTAATCTCCAAAATCTCTGAATCATCATAGCATTTATTTCTTTTTCCTAATTTATTTTTGAAATATACTATTTCTATATCCTGATCCATTTATATATTTTTTTAATAAAATAAGAATTGTATTTTTTTTCAATTAATTTCTTTTTGTAATTGTTTAAACATATTATTAACATCAAAAGAGAAAGTAATTTTAAATGAATTTAGTATGATTGGATTAATTCAATAAATGTATTTCGTGTAATCTTTTATTTTTTTCAAGTATAGAATAATTTTAATTATTTACTAAAAGAAAATAAGATATAAATTCTTTAGGTTGGAGGAGGAATCCTTTCATAATTGTTTTATTATAATTTTAGATTATTTTTATGTTTCATAAGAGATCTTATTAAAATTAGCTCATTTAATGTCTCAATAAATAATTCCATGCTTGTTTAAATACTTAATTCTAAAACCATATCCTTAATCATGATTGAATGACTGCAATCTTTTATTCTGTAAATTAATAATTACAAAACTCTTTTAATTCTACTTGATCTTATTATTAATCATAATTTTGTGTAATCAAATAAAAAGGTATTCTTAGATAGACTTTTTTAATTTTACAAACTAAGAAGTTGTATAATGAATATAAATTTATATAATACTCATTTTTTGTGAGAAACTTTGTTAAATTAAGTTTAATCAATATCAATTTTGTGTTTTTTTAAAGTACTATCTATCCATTCAATCAACCTTCCAATAGATTCATCTTAATCCTTTGGATCAATATCCATCCATAATTCAATTCTTATTCTATTACCTTGTTTAGCATTAATTTTATCTAATACTCTCAATCCATTAATCTAAATTAGTAGGTCTAATTTACATGTCTTAATTCTTCTGTAGCTTATCCTATAATTTGTAATAGAAAATCCAAATAAATTTAATCATAAACTGCATAATATTGTGTTGAAATATCAAATTGAATTTCTCCACCATTTTTATTGTTTTCATCCTCCCACCATGGTTTGATATCATTCTTAAAAAATTATATTGCTTCTATTTAAGCATCTGCATTCTCATCATTGAATTATTTAAATCTATTATATTGAAGTGAATTACATTTTGCATTTTTATGGTTCACTTAAAATATCTGATAATTTTGAATATATTGTCTTTTTCATTAGAAATCCTAATTCTTCAACAGTTGAAAAAGAACAGATATCCACTATAGTTCTCTTATAATCTATGTTATAACTAGCATTATATTTCTCTGATATTGTCCACTTACTACTCAATTTATGAAATTTATCACTCATTAATATTATTAATATATATCCATTTATCACTATTACAATTAATAACAGTTTTCTTGGTCCCAGCTAAATGTACACCTTCAGTCATAATGGCATAAACTGAATTCTCATAAACTTTAACTTAATCCACATACCCAATAGTAGGTACTTGAAATCCTCTAAATATTATTAATAAATTAAAANAAGAATTGTATTTTTTTTCAATTAATTTCTTTTTGTAATTGTTTAAACATATTATTAACATCAAAAGAGAAAGTAATTTTAAATGAATTTAGTATGATTGGATTAATTCAATAAATGTATTTCGTGTAATCTTTTATTTTTTTCAAGTATAGAATAATTTTAATTATTTACTAAAAGAAAATAAGATATAAATTCTTTAGGTTGGAGGAGGAATCCTTTCATAATTGTTTTATTATAATTTTAGATTATTTTTATGTTTCATAAGAGATCTTATTAAAATTAGCTCATTTAATGTCTCAATAAATAATTCCATGCTTGTTTAAATACTTAATTCTAAAACCATATCCTTAATCATGATTGAATGACTGCAATCTTTTATTCTGTAAATTAATAATTACAAAACTCTTTTAATTCTACTTGATCTTATTATTAATCATAATTTTGTGTAATCAAATAAAAAGGTATTCTTAGATAGACTTTTTTAATTTTACAAACTAAGAAGTTGTATAATGAATATAAATTTATATAATACTCATTTTTTGTGAGAAACTTTGTTAAATTAAGTTTAATCAATATCAATTTTGTGTTTTTTTAAAGTACTATCTATCCATTCAATCAACCTTCCAATAGATTCATCTTAATCCTTTGGATCAATATCCATCCATAATTCAATTCTTATTCTATTACCTTGTTTAGCATTAATTTTATCTAATACTCTCAATCCATTAATCTAAATTAGTAGGTCTAATTTACATGTCTTAATTCTTCTGTAGCTTATCCTATAATTTGTAATAGAAAATCCAAATAAATTTAATCATAAACTGCATAATATTGTGTTGAAATATCAAATTGAATTTCTCCACCATTTTTATTGTTTTCATCCTCCCACCATGGTTTGATATCATTCTTAAAAAATTATATTGCTTCTATTTAAGCATCTGCATTCTCATCATTGAATTATTTAAATCTATTATATTGAAGTGAATTACATTTTGCATTTTTATGGTTCACTTAAAATATCTGATAATTTTGAATATATTGTCTTTTTCATTAGAAATCCTAATTCTTCAACAGTTGAAAAAGAACAGATATCCACTATAGTTCTCTTATAATCTATGTTATAACTAGCATTATATTTCTCTGATATTGTCCACTTACTACTCAATTTATGAAATTTATCACTCATTAATATTATTAATATATATCCATTTATCACTATTACAATTAATAACAGTTTTCTTGGTCCCAGCTAAATGTACACCTTCAGTCATAATGGCATAAACTGAATTCTCATAAACTTTAACTTAATCCACATACCCAATAGTAGGTACTTGAAATCCTCTAAATATTATTAATAAATTAAAAATACCTTCGTACAATTCCAGATCTAATAGTAGTTGTGGTTAAATCCAAAGTAATTACATATGATTTATCAGTAAATTCTTCACCTAATTATCCACCAAATACCATCAATTCTGTTTAATTTATCTATGCTAATCCACTATGTAATGGTATTTCATTCCACAAATTTCCTTAACTATCATATATCTACAAATCAAACCAAGTGTTTTATCTAATTGAATAAACCTCTATTGTTTAAATATTAACGTATTGCTTATCAATTCCACCTATTTTAATTAAATATTCATTATTAATATTTCCTAATGAACATCCTGTACAAGCATGCATACAAGATCTTAATGGAGTCCATCTTTATCCATCAAATCTCTCCAATGTATTTATACTACTATCTTCACAATCTGTTGATGATCCACAACAAACATAAATACATGTGTCAACTAAACAAGCACCAAATCCTTATCTTCTATGTATCATATTTGAATGCAAATTTAAAGTCTTTTAAATCAAATTCACTTTGTACACTGATTAAATACTTAAGTTTCTATCTATATCTCTTTCAATTCCTCCAATTATTAATATATCTTTTCCATACATTATACATTAATGTCCAACTGCAATTCGTTTATCTAGTATTAAATTAATCTCTTAAAAATCAGATATATTTAAATTTTTCATTGGTTGTATGAATTTTGGCATTCTATATATCAATATCTTTCTTTAATCTGCATAACAACTTACTAAGATTTCTTCACTACTTGAAATAAAGCTACTTTATTATTGACTTACTATTTTCAATTATTATACTTAATCATCCTGCATTACTTTTATTAATTCAGATGTGTTGTGTACAAATTATGGTTTAAAAGATGATTGTGAAGAAAGGTATTCTCTTGCAATATTTTAATTTTAACTGCTCTGATATGATTTAGTATATACATTATTCTTTAATAATTACTTACTTTCCTTATTACCATTAATTTCAGATACATTTTCCTTTTTGATTTGAGATTATTATTATTAACCTTAAACTGGAGTTGGTTTTTCTCCTGTTAATTATTGTACTATTTCTTACTCTCTTAATGATACCATTCTTTATTTCTAGTTTCTGTTGCAAATCTATATATATTAATCCAAATCCTACAATAAAAGATTTTGAACATTATTCGTTATCATTAAATCAGGAAATTATTATTAATACTCTTAACATCTCTTATCTAAATTTTGATATATTTATGGACCTATTTCATTAAAAAAAGTTTCCAAAATTGCTTAAATATACTCACTGCTTTCAAATTTGTTAAGCAAATTATCCATCCTTTATAATTACTATATTATATTCATTAAATCAATACCATCTTAACCAGATCAATACTTTCTTTACTGTTATCATGTTTACTGCCTCTCACTTCTCTAAATTTATTCTATAAATCTTGTTTATATTCTTCGAATCTCGTATTTATAGATTTTATGATTTCTTATTTTGTTTATTCCAACTTCATAAACAAATTATTCATAATCACCATTTCATCTGTGCTACTTAACAAAAACATTTATTCATTTAACTTCTACACTATGTCGAATACCATTGCTTTCTATTCTTATCTAACGTTTTATATATTTTCTATCTATGGAATCTATCCATTTGCAGCGTGCTCCTTTATATGTCTTGGTATGCATTCAGGACATAGAGGTTCAGTGCATTATTTCAATATGCACATATTTGTTATGAAGTAATCTTTATGAGTTGGACATTTTATAGGTGGAACTGTTGACATGTTAACTTATTCAAAATTCAAAATTATAAATAAATTAATATTACAGGATAAAATTTTCATAACTCATATTTTGAAATTGAAATTTTAGATAAAAAATACACGCACTACTTTAACCTTCTGTTAAATATAATAACTAGTCTAATTTATGTTTAATACTTCTTGGAATTTATTCCTTAAAATTTACTTGAAAATTAAAGCAGATCAATAATATTATTTTATAAATAAAGCATGTAATACTAATGGACTCTTTCAAAAGTATATCTATATAAATTCATTTTTGATATAGTTTATAACATTGATGAATATATTCATTTTAACTTAAATAATTATATTTAGATAGACTTTTTAATTTTTGAAATAAGTAAATTGAATATATAAATAAACATTAAACAAATTATTTCTTTTTAGTAACTACATTGATGAAAGACTAATCTTAAAATTTAATTTTATGTAGTATCTAGAGTATAATTTTATTATCATTCAATATAAAAATATGAATA